TATATATGTATATATATTATTATNTATATATAATAACACACACACACACACACACACACACACACACACACGCACACACACACACACACACATATATATATATATATATATATATAAATCTGCACGGGCATAAACACACGCATAATACATATGTGTATACACAAATACCAATTTACACATATCCACCACAATAAACATGTTTGCCGATATATGTTACAAAAACAGAGCCACACGTATAGATTTATCGTTATTTCCGTTCATATTGGTTGAGTATCGCATGTACGGAAATTTACATCTTTGTATTGATATTGAAATGAATGTCCGATTGTACATGAAGGCTATGAACATCGATATACCAGTGAGCTGCTACGAGCTGCTACAAGTTTTTCGTATTCCAGCATTTGTTTGCTTCTATATGTTCTTAAGATGCGCATTATCAGGGGAGTCGATAGTGAATTTTTTTTGAGGTGTATCCGAGTTTTTGTATTTAGTCTTCTTATACACTATGTTGCCCTTGCTGTGTGTTCGATCAATACTATACATGGCAAGTAGTGCGCAGCTGTACTAAGATGTAATTCAAGGCCTTCAAACGGTCTGTGGTTCATTTGCTTTTAATCTGCAATGGGCCATGCTCGGGTCAAGAGAATAAAGGTAATAATACCAGACGTTTATTCTCCGCACAGTTTGAGCGAGTAGTTTAATCACAGACCCCTTCACGACCTTATATAGGACATATTATCTTAACACAGTGCCTTGTCGCAGCATTCGCCACCAACGCTGCTTTGTAACGCGGCTTTGATCAGACTACAATATTATAAAAGAGTGTGCTATGATGCGACTACAGAGCGAACTTTCGTCATTCGCACGCGGCCAGCTTGTAGAACCCTTCCGCTTGCCCAAGAATAATCAAATCTAAACGCAAATCGCTCTGCACCTTACCATCCTTACCTGTATGGATGGAAAAGTTTCCTTTGCATTAGAGGGACACGCCATCTGCAGTAGCATAAATGATGGCATTGTATATACAAAGCATCCGCGTTCCCGCTTTGGCTTGTATACGCCTCCACAATCGGACTAACACCTCCTCACCGGGTTGTTTAGCCTATACACGCGTATAAGGGCTCAATACGTCGACGAAGATGGGAATGTACCGCTATACGCAGTGATGATAGCCTCTGCAAGTACAGGGGCGTGCGCCTGGGTGACATGCTATCCGTTTGACACAATTAAAAGCGTGCAACAGAGTCAGAAGCCAGGACAGCCACATACTAAGAGGTCGCTGAGTACTATAGTGGGTGCAGCCAAACACGTGTATGCAAGTGGGGGGATGGGCGCATTCTACCGAGGATGTGGCGCAAGTACCACGAGAGCTGTGTTGGTCACTTGTACACGGTTGGTAACATATGAAGCTATCAAAAGATATATGGAATGGAGATAAAGTTATAAGATGAAGAAGCCGTATCCCGCTCTAGCCAGTTATTTTCCTTACAAAGTATCAGAAATTATTTGATTGGAACCAGACCAGTACATTTTTGGCTAGGTGTACTTAACTTTGCTAATCGTGCAGATTCAAACACAAACGAATATACAGGCATGTACATATCTCAATTAAAAGCAGCACGAATATAAATATACCCATTTATGAACACGTATACAATTCAACACATAATATGTACGTGCAATACACACACACACACACACATACACATGTACACATACATACAAATACACACATACGTACACATGCACACACGCATACACAGACATGCACAGACATACACACAGACGTACACACGCACACACACATATATCTACACACACACATACACGTATATATACACACACACCAACACACACACGCACGCAAACACGCAAACACACACACACACACACACACATATATATACATACATATATACATACATTTTCTAACACACACACACACACACACATACATAC